CGTAGAAGAATTGATGCTTTTGAGTTATGGTTTTGGAGGAGAATATTGAAAGTGCCATGGGCTGCCAAAAGAACCAATAGATCCATTTTAGAAGAAGTGCAGTCAGAGTGCTCCTTGGCATTCAAGATGGCCAAACTTCGTCTCTCATGCTTTGGACATATTGTCAGGAGGGAGCAGTCACTGGAGAAGGATATCAAGTTTGGTAAAGTGGAGGGTCAGAGAAAAAGAGGACAACCCCCAACGAGATGGATTGGCCAAGTGGCAGCATCGATGGACTCAAGCCTGGCAACAGTAGTGAGGTTGGCCCAGGATCTGGCAGTGTTTCGATCTGCTGTGCATAAGGTATAAGGTCGCTAAGGGTAGGTACCGACTCGATGGCACCTAACAACAACACAGCATATATCATATGCAATGGTGAAAGACATAAAGTTTTCCCCCCTAAAATCAAGAATAATAAAGGATGCCCACTTTCACCACTGCCCTGGTTTGGTTATAGGATAAGCATTGAACTGCTAACCACAAGCTTGGTGGTCCAAATCCATCTTATTCTATCTTAGTCTATAGCACCACACCAGGACTCCATGGAAGTCATATATCAGATTTAAAAACAAACAAAACAAAACTCACTGCCATCAAGCTGATTCTAATACACAATGACTGCTCCGTAGAGTTTTCTTGGGTGTTCCAGATAAGGGTTCAATATCCAGAATATAAAATAACACCCACAATGCAACAGCAAAAACACAAACAACCAAAAAAAAAATAATAAAGTAAAAGGGCAAAGTAATTAAATAAACATTTCTCCAAAGAAGATAAGGCAATGGCCAGTAAGCACACGGGAAGTTGCTCAACATCATTAATTGTTCCTGTTAAGTGCAGTTGAGTTGGTTCCAACTATCAGCGACCCTGTATAGGGTTTCTGAGGAGCAGTTGGTGATTTTGAACAACTAACCTTGTGGTTCAAACTAACTTTGTGGTCCAGTGCTTATCCTACATTGCCACATGGGAAATGCAAATTAAAACCAAAATGAGATACCACGTCACACCTGTTAGGATCGCTATTATCAGAAAAACAAAAAATAAGTATTGGAAAGGATGTAAAAAGAATTGGACCCTCATGCATTGCTGGGGGGAAAGAAAAATGGTACAGTGCCTGTGGAAAACATTTTGGTGGTTTCTTGAAACATTAAAGTTAGAAATACTATATGACCCAGTAATTCCACACCTAGGTATATACCCATAATAATTTAAAACAGAGACTCAGACATATACTTGTACACCAGTGTTCATTGAAACATTGTTCACAATGACCTAAATGTGAAATCAACCCATGTACCCATGAACAGATGAATGGATAAACAAAATGTGGTGCATACATACAATCAGCCATAAAGAGAAATGAAATCTATTCATGCTATTGCATGCGTGCCCATTGAACACATTATACTTAGTGAAAGAAACCAGTCACAAAAAGTCATATATTATGTGGTTCCATTTCCATGAAATACCCAGTGTTAGCAAATCCATAGAGACAAAAAGTAGATTAGTGGTTCCCTGGGGCTGGAGAATGAGAAGTGACTGCTAATATGTCCCAACCCAAGGTTTAGAGATAATGTTGGTGGTTACATGACTGTGAATATATAAATTCCACTGAATTTTACACTTCGAATGGGTTACACTTATGGTATGCAAATTATAGCTCAATTGAAAAATATGTGAAGCCTAAAAACAAAAAGAAAACCCAGAGCAGTGGCTACTCAGGTTTCCTGGTCATCACTTGGAGTTCTTCAGAAGTCCTGCAGTGTCAGGTTCAGATAGGAAAGCCAGTCAGGAGCAGGTTAGGAAGCATGCCCTTTTAATGGGTATGAAAGGCCTTTGGATTCCCCTTTCTGGAGGAATGAATGAGTGAAGCTCCTCAAGAAGAACTCCTGTAAGGGCTCTGTGGCAAGAAAGGAGTTTGTAATACTCCCTTCCCTGCCCACAGTCCCAAAGTTCTCCTTTATCTCTATTTCTCCCCAAGACCTCTCTTTGGTTATCTGGCAGATAAGTCTCCTCTTCAAGGCAGGTCCTCAGACTTTGAGGAGGATGGACTTGCAGTCTTGTCAATCACAGGAAAACCAGCTCTTGTGTCTCTGAGCAGCCATACTGGACCTTATGTTTGTCAAACAGTTTGTGCACGGCATCCATATAGAGTGTATGGTATTTATCCACAATCTCATGGCTTGGCTTTTCAATTTTCGGCAGTGGCAGAGGCTCCCCAACTGCCAAGGGAGATGGAGAAGGAAAAAGGGGAGAAATGTTAGACTCCTCTTCTGTTAACTTCCTTGTACTTACTTCCCTGGGCCTGATCCTCACACATCCTGGTTGACCTCACATCCCAAATCAGAGTCCATCTTTTCCCACTCTGAATCTGTCATATCTGGTAGGGGCAGGGGTGGGAAGGGCTAAGGTTGAAGTTGAGAAAGCTGAGTTGGCCTTGGTACCAAGATCAGCACTCACCCACAGTGATGATAGGTCGAGAGTATGGTAGGAGTCCAATGGTTCCTTGGCGGAAGCTTTGTCCATAAAAGATACAAAAATAGAAACCAACCGTACGGCGAAACAGGCTCTGGAACTTGTACATCATGCTGTCCTTAGGAAACAGCACCTGGTCATACACCTCAGTTTCTCCAAAAGTGAAGGTGGGAACCAGATGAGCCCTGTACAAAAACCCTAATTAATTTACCAAACAAAGACTAGGGTGGGAACTACCTGAAAGAACATTTGTCCATGTCCAGCCCTCCATCCATTGTGATAAAATCCTGCAGCATAATGCATTTCTCCTTCCACCAATCAGGGCTCCCATATTTAGTGTCTCTTGTCCTGAAATTTTCAGGGCCAGTAAGAGTGCTATCTCTGGGCCACAATCACATGAGGTGTTGGGAAAGAAGATGAGTTCAGGCAGAGATCCCAGAGACCCACATCCTGAAAAGAAAAGCTTCCACTAAGTATCAGGAAGGGGAATATTTGATATTGTTTCTATTAGTAGGAAGCACAGACAAGATGAAGATAATTTTGCTTAGATGCATATACTCATATGATATGCCCCTCATCCAAGGATCCTTAGTATAAGGTATTCTGCCCTTGAATTTTGGGAATAATAAGCAGAGAAAAGTTGTTTTCCCTCACAAGCTATGGGAATCCATCCGGAAATGCCCTTGGTCTATAGAGAATCAGGCTCCATAAATTTTTCTGTGAGACAGGAGTGTAACTCATATAACCTTTGTGAATTTCTAGTAACAATCTTTTACCACTTTGATATATGTTTTCTTACTTGATCCTCACAACCAAAACAGTGGAGGGCACAAAGGGGATTTATTTTCTTTATTTTGCAGCTAGAACCCAGTACTTTTTCCTTCCAACTTAGCTCTCTCCTCTACATTATGCTCTAAGCCCTGGGTGAGGAACATCTGGTCCATGGGTTGTATAAGCCTGCGAAATAATTTGGTCTGTTCCTGCCAAGGCAACCACAGGTGGGACTCAATGTTTAATCAATCCAGGATCTTTTTTCATAGCAACATACATTTATATTAAGTGATGTGATAAATATCCAAATGGCCCTTGACAGAAAAAAATGTTTCCCACCTCTGCTCTAAACAAATGAATAGACCAATCAGGCAAGGTTCTTAGAAAAAATACTTCCCTCTCCTCTGAGTCTGCAAATAGAATAATTGTCTAGTGAGCTGATCTAATGGTACATCACACAGATCCATCCTTGGGCTCTGTTCTTTACCTTCCCTCCTTTATCCCTAAGTCAGAATAGCTAACATCTTTTGATCTCTTACTGTATGCCAGGCACATAGTGTTTTATGTGGTTGAATTAATTTAAGCCCCACAATAACCCTATAAAGTGGGTAAAATTATTAGTAGTCATATCATAAAGATGAAAACACCAGGACACAGTAACCTGTCCCAAAGTGCATGGTAAGAAATGGAGTAAGATTTTAAATCACGCCCCTGCCTCTAGAGCCTAAGCTCATAAACAGTATATGGCACTTCCTCTTATACTTAACCATTTACAGACAGATGTAAATATCAATATTGATAGAAATAATGTTGGCATCATCTGTATCAGGGGTGGGGAACCTTTTTTCTGTCCAAATTTATAACATCATTTGGTGGTGGTGGTGATGTGCCATGGAGTCGGTTCTGACTCATAGCGACCCTGTACAGGGTTTCTGAAGCTGTAAATCTTTACAGGAGCAGAAAGCCTCATCTTCTTCCACAGAACAGATGGTAATTTAGAACTGCTGACCTTGAGGTTTGCAGCCCATTCGTAACCACAACACTACAGAGTTCCTTCAACTTAAAAATTAGCCTGCTATATTTGGTCAAACATTTAATTAATTAACTCACCCTACTTCTGGTGTGGCACTGCCAGTTAATGCGGTAAACTGCAATGGTTTGGGCCGTTAAGGCCAGCAGTTCCAACTCACGAGCTGCTCCTTGGAAACCCTGTACAGGGTCGCTATAAGTTGGATCCCAACTCGATGGCACTTAGCAACAAGCAGTAAATCTGTATAGGGTTTCCAAGGAGCGACTGGTGCGTTTGGACTGCCAACTTGTGGTTCAAACCAACTTTTGCAGTCCAGTGCATTAATCCACAGTGACTCCACATTGTGATGACTAAGGAGCTCTTGTAGCTTAGTGCTAACTTCAAGGTCAGTAGTTCAAAACTACCTGTCGTTCCACAGGAGAAAGATGAGGCTTTCTGTTCCTGTAAAGATTTACTGCCTGGGAAACCCTTTGCAGAGTCGTTTTGAGTCAGAACCAACTAGATGACACTTAACAAAAACAAACGTGATTGCTGGAACTGCTGTTGCCTTGGCAGGGGCAGACCTAATGATTTTGCGGAACATCCTTACAGACCTTTAAGGAGCTCTGGTAGCGTGTGGTATGAGTTGGGCTGCCAACCTCAAGGTGAACAGTTCGAAACTACCAGCGGTTCCATGGGAGAAAGATGAGTTATTCTGCTGCCGTAAAGATTTACAGCCTCAGAAACCCCGTGCAGGGTCACTATGAGTCGGAACCGACTCCACGGTACTTAACAACAACAACATATGACCCTTAGGCCAGATGTTCCCCACTCTTGATCTATATGCTAGGGCAGCACTAGCCTGATTCCTCTAATATCAAACTTGGATTTTTGGTATGGCTTCCTGGGAACTGGTCCAACTAACTCAGAAAAAGTGGATGACATAGAACCTTAAAAAAAAAATTCTATATCTATCTCCCTTATTTAATAGTAAGCTTCTTGAGAGTTAAGACTTGTATCTGAATCATCTTGGCATCACTTACAGGGTCATGTTGCTCAAAGAAGGCAACCCAGTCCTCCTCTGGAAGGAACACCTACCCATGCTGGAGGGCTGTGCGCACAAACCCCTTGCGATTCTGGAGGATGAGGTTGGTGGTGTTGGGCACGCTTTGCAGGGCCTCTCCCACGCCTCCCACTACAATGCCCACGAGGTTGCCATGGCCATGGCTCAGCAGGTAGTCAATGGCTGGCTGACTCACAGCGCACACACCTGAATAGAAGCAGAGAGAAGAAGCAAAATGAGCAGGAGAGAAGAAAATGTCCTTTCCACTCTTCACTAGCTTTTTTTGTATGCCCTCTATTCCCGTGGATTCTAGGTTGTTGTTGTTAAGTGCCATGGTGTCGGCTCCGACCCATAGCAACCCTGTCTGTATAGGGTTTCCGAGGAGCAGCTGGTTGTCTTGAACTGCCGACCTTGCAGTTACAAATGGCTTTGCAGTCTGGCACATTAACCCACAGCGCCATACCAGTCCTGGTTCTAGGAGGAGAGGCTAAATGACTGTGGAGAAGAGTAGGCTGTTGGCAAATGTAACAAGTTTCACTTTAAGGCAAACTATAGTAGGAAGATTTTTCAGTGGGATAGCTAGGACTTTCTGAATCCCTACTGTAATTCTACTCCTTTTTCTCTATTGCCATTAAAATCATCGCTATTATTTATTGACTACATGTTTTGTGTCAGGTACTATGCTGAATTCTTGTATTATCTCATTTAGTCATCATATGGCATCTCAGATAGAACTATTATCATCAGCACTATTTTACAGATAAAGAAATTGAGGTAAATAGAAATTAGATAGTTTTCCCAACATCACATAGTAAGTTGCAGATCCAGGAGTCAAACCCAGGCTGTTTAGCCCCTGAACTTATGCTTTTAACTACTTTGTTATGATGAAAGCAGGTGAAGGGTAGGAAATTTAGCTTATAAAGTTTCATCTTCAAGCAGAGAAATAGACCAGAAATTCCAGGAAGTGTGGTCAGAAGCACCTTTGGCCATGAGGTAATCCCTAATTAGGGGGATCTTGAAGAACCAGGACAGTGTAGCCAAGTGAGGAGTGATGCCTGGGAAGATCTTCGAGAAATCTGTGGCTTCAGTACAGAAGTTGCAGAAGGCACCAAAAGTCAAGAGACCATGGGGGTGCACCCCCATGACATAGTTGTGCTCAGGTGATAGGTCTTTAGTCTTCAGGATCTACAGTAATGGAGAGAAATGTGATCACATGGGAAAAACAGTGATGAAGACTCTTTTAACTATTAGAGGGTTTTCAAAAGCAAAACTTTCCAATAGATATGCTATAAATGGGCCCCAAGAGACTGAGATATTGGTTTCTTCAGGCTTTGTGAACTAGGCAGTATCAGGGCATCCAGAACCCTCAGGTAGTCTCAGACATTTGTCAGTGGATTTTATGCATGGTATCATTTTCTATGGGTGCTATGATTTGAGAAAGATTAGGAAGCTCTGTTCTAGAGTGGTGGTGGTGGTGGTGGTTGTGTGCTATGGAGTTGGTTCCAACTCATAACCATCTTTACAGGAGCAGAAAGCCTCATCTGTCTCCCATGGAGCAGCTAGTGGATTTGAACTCCTGACCTTGCAGTTAGCAGCCCAACTCATAACCCACTATGCTACTAGGGTTCCTTCTGTTCTAGAGTATGCCTACCAAAAAATGAGCAAAAATCTGGGCAGTATTTGTTATTTACTTCAAAGAGTGTCCAAAGGATCAGCATAGCAGTACATTTCTAGAACCTCTTACTTTTGTTTTTCTCCTCTCTGAACCCTTTCCAATGCCTGCTACAGTAATTTTACTCAACCTTGAAAACTCCACTTATATATCACCATGTCTGTGAAGTCTTTCCTCACCACTACACCGCCCAAAACATCTGAACTACTTACTTCTATACCATGTATCAACCCATAATTATATACTTGTCTGTCCTCCTAGTGAGATGTGAACTCCAGATGGCAGAGGATCATACCCTATTCAATTTCTGTACCCTAAACACGTGGTACAGAGTTAGTTTTCAATCAATGTCTGTTAAACATTGAACTAAACTGAGCTGTATTTGTATTCTGCCTGTAGAATCTTGCAGGTCATGCTGAGGGTGTCCAAAATATCCTAGCATAATATAGAGTACCCAGGAGCATGGCTGGATCTAGACCAAACTTAGACTTCTTTGGGATGCTCATCTTCCTTAGGGACAGCCCTAGATGTTTGACACAAATGCTAGTATTTTAGAAACTGAAGAACACTGGGGAAAAGACACTTACCGTAATGGGGAAATAGTTCTTAATGTGGGTCCAGACACACCAGTTTCTCACCCAGGCTGAACGCCTGCCACCTGAGACAGAAATACCAGTAAGGGATGATGTCAGTGTGCCACCTCATACCTCCTACTTACCTAGGGATTCTCTAGCAGCATGGAGGATTATAGCTCTTCTAGAGAGGTAGGAAAGGAAGAGACTCCAGAATGATCCTGACTGATCCAATTTCTGTGGCTCTGAGAGTTTGAGTGAGAGGCCTGTGACATGATAGGGTAAGATGGAGCATTCTTAGACCCTGTTCTGTCTAGGTTCATGAGTCTTACCTTGCTCAGGGGTCTTCCAGTCCAGGAACAACCAGGCTAAGTAAAGGGCTGGTAGTGGCCACAAGAATGTAAACAGCAGGCAAAAGAACAGTGGCTGCAAGATAAAAACTGACAATGGAGCAGGTCAGACCAAATTTGTGGCTGTCAGCAGAATTTAACTATGTCTAGTCCCATTGCCAGTCCTCCAAGCTCCCCATGTCTTTGGTCCTAGCCTTCTGCGCAGTCCAGTTCCTGCCAGCCCATCATCCATGTCCACTTGACCTTAAAACATTTTCTCTATTATCCACCATTTACCAACTCTATTTCTCTGCCTACTTGTTATTCCTGTCCACCTGCATCCCTACCCACACACCATCCCTCTACTTCTACCTCCCTTATGTTTTTTCTCTTCTTATCCTCTCTACCCATCCTCCCTGAATCCTTGCTAAATCATTAGACCACCTTCCTTGCCTATATACTATCCATATCTCTGTAACCCTTCCCCCCAGCATCATCATCCCTCTATGTTTTTCCCATCTACCATTCTTGTATTCTTGCCCATTCACTATTTCTTGCATTACCGCTGTTTCCCCCATGCTACTATTGCCCTCTCCCAGAGTGGAAAACTGTATGGTTTAAACACAAACTAGACTTCTCTAAGTCTGTAGTGCTAATACTTCTTATATCCCACTCCCCATGCTCCATTATGGTCATGGACATGTCATACCTACTCCCTAGGCTTTATTTTCTCTCTCTAGATAGTGAAATGTCTGAAATTAAACAATACCTATCATACTTTTTTTTTTTAACATGTTGCTGTAAAAAAAAAATTGATTAGCACAGTTTAAAAAAATGCCTACTGGAAGGTAATGTTGACAAACAAATGTAGAAGGCAGGCATTATTTGTGTAAAATATTTCACCTCCTTGTCTGTTTCCACTGCCATGTGGGCTCTATCCCTTTCTTCTCCAGGGCACTCAATAGAACTCAAGACTCCTTGGCTTTATTCTATAGTACTATCTCAGATGACCAAAGGCCAGAGATGAAACTTCCCATATCCTGGCCCTGGCCTTTGACTTTTTTTTTTTTGCTGTTCACTTCTGGGTTGATACTCACATATAGTAAGGTAGCTTAAGGGCCACTGCAGAACCATCATGCTCTGGAAGTAATTAGGTTGCTTGGAGCAAGGCATGGTGCCTAGGAGCCTGAGACAGGTAAAGTCCAAGAACAATGTCCCAACCAAAGGAGCCACCAGCCTCTGGAAGCTTGTTCAGAAGTGAACGCATCTGACTATGAGCAGTTTTTACCTGCCCTCTCTCTTCCTTGTCCTACCCCAGACCCACCCACTGCCAGGGGCAGGCTCTGGTGTACCAAGGACTTTCTCATCAGATTTGAGCCCTAGGCAAAGCCCATTTTCCCTTTGACTCTCTTTCTTAGAGTTAGGACATCAGGATAGAAAGAGGTGAGAATGACTGCCACCTAGTCTTAGAACCCAGAGACACAGAGAAGGAAAATGCTTCCCACAGGACACTTGGAGACTTCAGTGATAGTGACCACAGGTAGATGGATTGTGGAAAGAGACTTTTTGTGGGGTGGGATGTTGAGTATCTAGGATTAGGTAGGTCTTTGTTGAGAAGAAGCAACTTGCTTTGGGAGAGATCTCCAACCCTTTTTTAACTTTCTATTATAAAAATGTTCAGGTACACACAAAATTAGAGAATACAATAAATTTTCATGGACCTATTCTGGTGTGGCACTGTAGTGTAAGCATTGGACTGTGAGGTCAGTGGATCAAACCCACTAGCCGCTCCTTGGAAACCTTATACAGAGTCGCTATGAGTTGGAATTGATTGGATGGCACTTAACAACAACAATCATTTTTCTTAAACTATTAACATTTTGCCATACTTGTTTTATCTGTTTCCCAGCCTCCCCACTTCCCCTACTGGGAGTATTTTAAAGCAATTCTAAAATACCATATAATTTCACTCCTAAACACTTTACTATGGATCTACAAGAAAATATGGATATTTTCTTACATAACTACAATGCCGCTGTGACCCTTAAGTCATTTAATACTTCTCCAATAATAACTAATACCCAGTCCATATTTAAATACCTTTTTATAGTTGGTTGATTTGAATCAGGATTCAGACATGGTCAATTGATATTTAGATGTTTTGTCTTTTAAGTGTCTGTCTTCCTTTCCTTAAATTTTCATTGTAAAATGAAACTCAGATACAGAAAACCACCAAAAGTAAATCTATGGTTTAATTAATTATTAGAAGACAAACATCTTGTAACCAGCACTATGTCAAGAAACAGAATTTTCCCATTCACCCTAGAAGCCTCTCCATGTGGTCAGTTCTGATCATAACCCTCTCCCTCCTCCCAAAATAACCATTATCCTAATATTTATAGTCCTCTCTTGCATTGCTTTATGGTTCTATTTCCAAAATGTACTTCCCTAATGACTGATTTAGCTTTACTTATTTTGAAAAAATTGATATGTCTTTTAAGTTCCTCTTTAAAAATTTTTTATTGTGGTAAAATATATAACATAAAATATGCCATTCTAAACATTTTTAAGTGTACAATTCAGTGGGATTAAGTTGCATTCACAATGTTGTGCAACCTCCACCATTATCTATTTCCAAAAGTTTTTCATCACCCCAATAGAAACACTATACACATTAAGCAATAACTCTCACTTCCCCATCTCCCCAGTTTCTGGTAACCTATAATCTACTTTCTAGTCTTTATGCATTTGCCTAGTTTAGATATTTCATTTCAGCAGAATTATACAGTTGTTTTTGGCTTCTTTCACTTAGCATAATATTTTCAAGGTACATTCATTCTGTAGCAAGTTCTCTTTCTTAAACTTTTAAATTTTAGAATAATTTTAGATTTATGGGAGAGTTGCAGTGATGCTACTGAGAGTTCCCTCTACCATTCACCCAACCTTCACTTAATTTTAGCATCTTAACATAACCATGGAATTTTGATACTAAGAAATCAATATAGGTGTATTACTATTAACTCAAATCCAGACTTTATTCAGATTGTACTGGTTTTCACACTGATTTTCACCATTTTCTCTGCCAGGATCTCATCAGTATCCCACGTTACAGTTAGTCATGTCTACATACCAAAATCAAAAACAAATCCACTGCCATCGAGTCGATTCCAACTTAGAATCCCCATAGAGCAGAGTAGAACTGCTTTGAGACTGTAAATCTTTACAGATTTCTGAGACTGTAAATCTTTATAGGAGCAAACAGTCTCATCTTTCTCCCATAGAGTGGCTGGTGGGTTTTAACCAATGCTTAGCTTACAACACCACCAGGGATCTTATCTCTACATAGTCTCCACTAATCTGTGAAAGTCTGTTGGTTTTTCCTTGTGTTTCATGACCTGCTAAGAATTTTTGAGGAATTTAAGTCTGCATCTGCAAAAAAATACATGGATATTTTCCATCCATTGAAACTGTTCTAAAACAGAGTTTAAATAAACTGTTCCAAACCAGAGCTTAAGTCTATTTTAATCTGTAGCTTCCCCCTCTATCCCTTTCTTTTCCTTATGATTTATCTGTTGAAGAATTTATGGCATTTGACTTGTAGAGTTTCCCAGTCTGAATTTTGCTTATTTTATACTCAAGATGCAGTTCAGTATACTCTTATATGTCCTACAGACTGGCAGCTTAATTTAAAGACTAGATCAGTCTCAGGTTTGATCTTTCTTGCAAGATCGTAATTTGTTGGTAATATAGAACACTTTACCTTCCCACCGTCCTTTTCCCCCATGCTGTTAACTTATTGAAGTAACTTAACCTCTCCTGTGTTAGCACTAGCTTCTGTGATCAGGGTGAGGGTGTTGAATCCCAAAGAAGGTCAAAGTTGGAGGGGGAAGCAAAGCTTCTTCTCTCTGACTCCCATTTCTTATCTCACTATAATTTTATGCTCATTAAAGCAAATTGGGTTGTGATTTTGTTTTTATTTACTTTGCTTTTCCTACTTGAAGACTGTATGCTTCTAATGGAATAGGGAACATGTCTTATTTGTCAGTGTTTGTCCCAAATGCCCAGAAAGTCCTAGGCGCTCAGTGAGTGTATTGGTTTGAGGTCTGATCAAGATGGTTTCTTCCATGTAATGAGATCACTGGAGTCCTATGGAGGAGTGTGTTCTGGAGCATTGAGTTGGGGGACAGAAGGCTTATAGAAATAGAGAAAAGGAGCATGTTACAAAAGGGAAGAAGAAAGAATGAGAGAAAGGAAAGCAAGTGCTGACCTTTTAATCAGTTCAGCAAAAGAGCATGTTCCACATACTTTGCCTCCCCCACATCCAAAGAGCCTCTTGCTCCATGTCTTTCTATTGATTGGACACCAGCTGGGCCCTGAAGCAAATGTCAGCACTCAGATATTACAGCCCCATCCTACCTGTGTATTGACAGATGCCTGTGACTGAAGGTGGGAACAAGCCCCTGGCAATACTGGAGATATTAACACTCTGTCTTTCCGAAATAGAATTTTGTGGGCCTGTATGAATTTCTTCTCCACATTATGTTTCATTCTTGTAACAGGTCTTTTCCAGGAAGTAAGCTTACTGGCTTAACATTTAGTAATGTGTGTGTTTTCAGGTTTTTTTCCTCTATTTCCTCCTGCCCCCCTCAAAAAAGTAGCTAAGTTGTTGAGAAGACCCTCAAGCTACAGGTAGTTGATATTTTTTCCCTTTTATCAGCAGATGCCAAGTCTTTTTTTTTTTTTAGATCAATCACTAGTTTCTGTGATATGTTTCTATTTTAAAACTTTTTATTGTGAGTTGGGTGAAGGTTTACAGAGCAAATAATCAGTTTTACATTTAACAATTCATACACATTTTGTTTCATCTTACTGATTACAATCCTCTCAATGTAGCATTATTTATCCTACTTCCTTGCTGTTTTTCCTGTTTTTATTTCTTCATCATTCTTAACCCTTCTGAACTTTGTCCTTGAGTAAATGCCACCCTGCTGTTGTTTTTTTCTCGCAAATGGTTGATGTGCATAACTCACTAGTGCTATTGTTCCTCTTATAGATCTATCTATTGTTTGAAAATTGAGCCACGTTGGTGAGTTCAGTTCACCAGTCTCTATCCAACCAATAAGAATAGTCTCTTATAAAATAAACACTGGAGGGGGAGAGAAAGGAATAGCCAAAAGCATCACCATAGAAAGCTTGTAAGTCCCTTCTGCCTATAAATGATTGGAACACCTAAAATGGGGCTACAACGTGCCCAGTGAAGGAGGCTTTCTGCGGAGACTCTGCAATACATAAGACTACAGTTGGAAGCCTGAACCACATCCAGATCTCCAGAGATGGGAAATTCCCACTTGAAAGGACAAGCAGACCAGCCTGGAGTGGCTAGAAGAACAGAAGATACTTCTTAAAAGAAAGATCTACAGGAAAAATATAAAACAACATAGGCAGACCGGCTGTTACTATAAGAACAAGCAAGTTGCTTGCCCAGGAAACATCAAGGCAAGTGGTTGGGTCCCCTCAGTGCAAACCCCCTTCCAAGACTAAGACTCAACCCTCTGATTGGTGACCACGCTTGACACCGATAAGGGGAAGTGAGGGAAAAACAGCAATGAAGTGGCGAGCTAAGCCCTACAATGTTCAATAGACTTCTGTGAACCCGGGTGAAGACCTGGTTGGCCAGCAGTGTGGCAAGACCTGGGGACTCTTGGGCCCAGAGTCAGTGTCATAGTCACAGAGGACTAGAGTGGAGAATGAAGTGTCCAGCTGATAAGAACATCCACACTTGCAGATAATACCCACTTGTCCTAGCTTCAGTGACTGGATGATCAGAGCTCAACCAGAAGTAAAAAGAAGAGGAAAAAAAAAAAGTATTCCCATACAATTTGATGAACTTGACCTACACCTATGGAAGCAGTAGCTCAAATGAGGGAATAAATCCTTACAGCAAGAATCATTCCCACCTCCTCCACACACAGAGCACAGGGATGGGCAACTTGGACATTGGCTACCCAAAATGGGGGGCGGGGGGCTACAAAGGCAAGAAGTGACTGGCTTACAAGCTTTCAAGAGGGAACCTAGATACAGAGGACCTGGAGGAAGGTAGAATCTCCAGTGAGTAGTATCCAATCTGTCTAGGCAGGGCTGATGCAATGAAATGCAGATGGGTCTCTTGTGAT